TTACCCTCTGAGCACGAAATTTCTTCCAGAAGAAATTTAGGAACCATAATGTACCCCATAAAAGTTTCCATCACCCTCAAATCATATACAAAGAACTGCAAGAAAAGGGAGAGAGAGGAAAAACACGCACTCACATGCACACACAAAGGAAGCGCCTGGTATAATTGAGGACACTTCATTAGATTACTTTGATATTCTTTCTTCTTTTTTTCTTTAACATTGGTGTCTGAGCAAATTTGCTTGCACCTAATTCACCAGGCAGCCTGCTATAGCCCACACACACATGCCAAGTAATCCTACTGATCAAGTCTGGAGCAAATCACGTAGAGTGTTGTAGTTGGGATTGGAACTTGGGACCTCTAGGTTGTTACTCTTATACCGCTCCAGATTGCTTTGATATTCTTTTTCTCTCTACTCTGTTTTTGTCATTATTGTTTGGTGTTTTTCCATCTCTTCCAGATCAGCTATTAACTGGGTCCCAAAATTTTGCCTTGTGCTCTTTGCTTGTCACACCTTTCTTGCGAATTATACCCAATGCAGAATTTAATGGATTTGTAATCTTTCCCAAAAGATATAACCAGAATTTTTGAAACGTTCATAATTCTGCAATCTGACGCTGGAGCCAAGTCGCATTATCTCCTCTATTCATGCCAATGACTTTCCAAGAGGATCCCCTAAAAAAGTAAAAGGACCCGTGTGAGTGTATTACCTGTGATGCTGTGGAGGTTCAGCTTCTAACCTGCTATTACTAGATCTTTTAACGTGATACTTCAGCCTTTGTGAAAGACCAATATAGAACTCCTTTGCCCTGCATTAGGAATTGGTGGTGGGGAGTTGTTAACCGTTTTACTTTTTACCCGTTTGTAATCTTCTCCACCACAGCAGGAGATTTTAGTTTCACATTTATAATTATGACGAGCGCAGAACACAACACGAAATTGATGCTCGCTAGCCAAAGATAGTATAGTTTAATTATCGTCTCCAAAGGGATCGGATTTAGACAATGTTCAAGTAATTTCTGGTTTATCGCTATTCAGGATGATTAACACTTTGGTTGGAATGACTAATAACTAAAATTAATTATTAAAACTAAAGCAATTAACAATTGATCATAGAAAGATAAGAGTTGAGCAACACCGAAATAATGAATGGGAGAAATAAGGGTCGTGACAAGATAGGTGCAAGATAGCTATTCGTGATCTAACTCTAGTTCAATTCACTCTAATGTTCTAATGATTCTCACGAATACACTCAATAATTAGTTCACACGTGTAGCCAAGACTCCTCTCTCGATTAAATCTTAACTCTACGAGGTGAATTAATATAAAACATGTGAAAATATGTAAGAACGCGTTAATAGATTAGTCTTTAGGAAAACATTTCTTGAATATTCTCCTCATTTGAGTTAATCAACAATTCAACAAGCTCTTTCGATTACTTAAAAGAAACACGGAATTAAACCAAACAAAATAATGCGACGATAATCACCAAAATATTCCTCTTTCGATTAAAAAAACTGGTGAATAAAGTTGCAATCAATTCAAAGCTCCATAAACGAATTCATGCAAAGCACTAGAGTTAAAATCTACAAATATCAATCAAAACATCATATCCGTCAAACCCTAAGGTAAACTACTCCATAATCATGGAGAAAGTCATCAGAAATAAAGTTAAATTATAAGAAAACATGAATTCAATCCAAACTCGAGTGTTGAGTCGAGGAAAGAATGATGAATCCTTGTGCCTTAGCGTCTCCAATGCTCTTCTAATCCTCCGCAGGTCAAATGTCCTCTGAAAATCGTGTTTTTGATGTATTTATACCATGTAGGAACGGGTCCGGACGGAACTACCCGTTCCAAGCCGAAACGGGAAAGTACTCTGACAAAAATGCACATGCGCGACGCAGGGCACAGTGCCCCATGCGCCGCGCCAGTGGAGAACTTCATGGGGCTGATTTTTACACTCTGCAGAAAAATTGCACTACCACCTTTCTCGGAGTAATCTTTTTTCCTCACCTTTTGGCATCCAGACTTGGTCCTCAACCACGCGAACGTGATCCCGGCTTAATTTCTTGGGCTTCTACTCAGACTTTAAAGCTCCAAATCATCCATTTTACCTCCAAACTTGTTTCTTCACTCGAAATCACATCCTACGCAATATAATACACGTAATAAGTACAAAGTACTAACACTTAGGCTCAAATATAATCAAAGTGTAGTAATTAGAGTGCGAAATATAGTTAACATGAGTTCCTAGCTTATCATCAAATTATAATCATTGTTGTAATGTACACTCTTCTTAGTAGAATGCTTCTCCTATCTCAGAAAAGGACTGAGAAAGATTGAATCTATGAGATGATTCTGATAAAATGTCTGCTTCAAGTGTTCTTTCTTTCAGGGGAAACTCCTAAGTAGTTGCAATATGCATTACTGTGATCCCTTTATTGATTTTGCAGGATGATGCACACATCTTCTGTTTAGAGGATCAAATTAAAGATGAAATCAGGGGTGTTTTAGACCTGACCGAGGAAATATTACAGCAATTTGGTTTTGACAAGTATGAGGTGAACCTTTCAACAAGGCCAGAAAAGGCTGTGGGAGATGATGAGATTTGGGATAAAGCAACATCCGCACTTAAGGATGCTTTAGAAGACAAAGGTTGGAGCTATCAGATAGATGATGGTGGTGGGGCATTCTATGGTCCCAAGATTGATCTGAAAATTGAGGATGCTCTTGGAAGGAAGTGGCAATGCTCAACTATACAGGTCTCTGTTTGCAAAACTCTGATCAAGTTTGAGCTTGATCAAACAATTCACAAACTTGAAGTGTTTTTGTTCCTCTTCATTTTCTTGTTTCAAGCTCGCTATATTCTTTGTAACCCTTCACTGACACATGAACTTCTACAGGTTGATTTCAATTTACCCCAGCGCTTTGGCATTACATATGTTGACTCAAATCAAGAGAGGAAGCGACCTATCATGATCCATAGAGCAGTTCTTGGATCTTTGGAGCGCTTTTTTGGTGTTCTCATAGAGAACTATGCTGGTGATTTTCCGCTTTGGCTTTCTCCCATCCAAGCTCGAGTTTTACCAGTTACAGATGCTCAGGTAATCAATACTTGTTTGACTAATTCTTGTTTTCCATTTACATAAAACCACGTTTAATTTATTACCCTGACCAAAGATTTGCTGCTTACAGTATACTAACTCCTGTAGTAACCCTTTATGGTACTGTTTGACTTGATTAAAATGACACGGATCACGATCCGTAATGTACAATCAAATAAAAACCACAAAAGGCTTCATGATGAAGTTTATGTCTTGAAACTGGTCGATAATAATTGTCTTCTTTATATTTTTATCTGTCCATAATCTTCTGCTGATATATATGGTGGCTCGGACTGATTTTATGCATGTATATGTTCACAGCTCCAGTACTGCAATGAAGTGGGAAAGAAACTAAAAGCTAGTGGTATTCGGGTCGAGGTTTGCAGTGGCGAACGCCTGCCAAAACTCATTAGGAATGCAGAGAAGCAGAAGATACCACTGATGGCTGTAGTTGGGCCCAAAGAGGTAGAAACACAAACTGTTACTGTTAGGTCTAGGTTTGCTGGGGAGTTGGGGAATATGTCCATTGATGAGTTTATCAGTAGAACAAAGACTGCTAGTGAAAACCGTACATTCTTATGATCAGGACTCAGGAGCATGGTATTGTTTGAGAGTAGCTCTCCTAAGTTATAAGTATTTCATGTATGGTTTAAACATAGTTGTGAACCACAGAGAAATAGAGATAAAAAATAAAGGAATACAGAAATTCTTGTTGAATCTTTTATTTTGTATTTCATTCATTTCTACTTGTATGACATTGTTTGACTGCCATAACATTTATGTGACTATAAAATCATGTTATCACGAGTAAATTGGAAATAAAGTCTAATGCCATCACAAATACAAAAATATGTTATTTTTCTTAGAATAAACTATTAAGGAAAGAATCCATTTAAAAAATTGTTCAGATCTACTGTAAACTATTCGTACTTTAGTTGACCTCTCCAAAATCACATTAAAAATGAGTTAGTTGAGATCTACAATTACCACTCACAACAGCTGCTGTCTCTTTTGTTTTACTATCATTTTTTACACGTGAATTAATTATTAGATTAATTGGATGGCATGTGATTCCAGTTGTAAGATCTTTGAAGAAGTGGATGGTTTTGTGTGTGTGTATTAAAGTATGTTTGTTAAAATTTTGTCCTTTTCTCTCAAGCTATTAAAGAGGCCGGACATAAAATTAATGTCACCTTAGAGATTAAGATTAAGAAATCCTTGGGGATTGTAATCAGGCAACTTAATCAAGAAAACACTGAAGATAAATTCAGAATTGTTGTCTGAGCCACTAAGTTTCCTGTATTCACAATTTTCTCCACTGAATCTAATGCAATAAACACTTTGATCCCTACTTTTGTGTTTTAGAAGTAAAGTTCGATTTGTTACTCGACCTTGTGATTTTTTTTTTTCCTAATATTGCATTTGAGTGTCTTCTTTGACATGTGGTATTGTTATGGATATGTTTCCTCCTAAGTCCTAATATGGGTGAAGTAGGGTAGGAAGTTTTTGGACATTGTATCCGATTGAGATGTAATACTCCCTTTGTATAAAATAGAAAGACAGAAATATGAAATACGAGAATCAAACTGTCTAATTTCCGTATTATCTTATGTTTATTTCTTTAGTTCTATCCTATGTTTATTTCTATCCGGAAAAAGATAGATATCCAGAAACTACAAAAAGTACTGTATACTTAGAGGCGACTCTTCCACGGATCCCGACCCCAAAGTCACGGATCCAACACGGAATACTTTGTGAACTGGACTGACCTTATTATAAAAGAGTTTGTTAGAGAACAGGATTTGCAACATAGCAATGGAATCAATGAAGAAATCTGAATTGGTAGCACTTCGGAAAAGAATCCACAATGATAAAACTAAAGAACAGAGAATGATTGAGAAAGAATATGGAGTATCAGAAATGAAAATGATACATGAATGTATACAAAATATTGTAACCAATAACCAATACTAAATCACGAATGGAGTATATCAAACCAATAAGAAACAGATGTACCATTTTCAACATAATTTAACAAAATTCCCCCCCATAAGATCATTTTCCTTACAATAACACCAAGAATCCACCAGCAATTGCCAAAACCAAATGATTTAAAATGCCCCAGCTCATCATCCTGTGAGAAGCCGATGGCGATGAAGAATCTGGAGAGGCTGCAGCTCTAGCTTTTCCTGTTTGATCAGCAGCTGGACTATCAGCAGTAGGGGCGATATCTGTTTCTGGCGCTGGTGCTGGTGCTGGCATTGGAGGTAAATCTGTCCCGAAAATGGCTTCAGGAAGAAGCACCTTGTCCACCTGATAAACAGCAACGGGAAAAGTCGTGCGAACAGCGCTACTAACTTTAGTTCTAGACCATCCTGAGTTAAGGTGAACGGTCCCTGAATCATAGGTGAAGTTCAAGGAAAATAAATTTCCTCCAGCAAAGGTATTAATAGGGCTCATGTCACTAAGGTTCTTGAAGTCGGCTAGACTGTAGTAATGTGGCAATGCATGGAAAAGGCAAAGGGATTTGAGTTTATCTGAGGTGAGGCTGGAAATGGTAGGCTTCTTGAGTGAAGCAAAGGCGGAGTCTTTGGGAACAAAGAGTGTGATCCCTTCTTCTGTGTCGTTGGCTTGGCTTTGGAAAGTATCGATGACTTTTGTCGATTCAAGGTAGTTAAGGAATGTGTGGAAAGGGCCAGCAACGGAGAGTAAGTCGGTTAGGTTTGTGTATTCGGGACCTGGTGCTGGTGCTGGAGCTAGGCTTGGAGATCCAATTATAGCTTTGCCTTTCCCGGCTACAGTTGACAATTGAAGGACTAGAAGTAGACTACAGACAATGAAAACAATAGAGTAGCCCATTTTCTCTTAGTGCTAATATACACAGACCCCTACAAATTCAAGATCCATGATTAGAACACCAAAATCAAAGCAAATGGGCACAAAGTTAGCATCTTTAGTTAAAACTAAGCCAAACTGGACCGATCCAAGTGAATTGCTGTTCACACTTGAGCTCATTTTTTTCATTTGAGTTCATAAGAATATGTTATCTAGACAGGGGTGGATCTAGAGTTCGACATACATGTTCACGGGAACCCAATAGCTTTTGCTCTTATACTACGAAGTTCACTAAATAAAATTTTGACCATGAATCCAATTATTATTATAAATTTATTTAAATTCTGACGCTAGAACCCATAAGCTTCAATCATGTATTCGACTCGGTATCTAGACACCCTATTACTTAGATCTCAGCATTTCCACTTCAGAATTTCCTAAAAGGGTAAGTTCTATCTACCCTTTTGGATGGATAGTGTAGTGCATTTTCATACTTACATTACAAAATCATACTAAAATTTTCTTGAAAAACTTGAGCAAGTAACAATTGAGTATAAAATGATCACTAATTAGTAAAATTATAACTCGTCAACTCAAGGACTAAATCAACAAATAATTGAATTCAAGATAGAGTAGTAAGTACATACAGGTAACATGCAGTAAAATACAAGATAAAAGCAGATATAACAGTCAAAACAACAAGAAAAGGAAACTTCCATATGTTACAATGTCAATTAACAGCTTTAGATATCTTTGAGGAAANTTAGAGGTGTGTATAATATATTAAAAATATTATATGAATTGTGCAGTCTTAAACAATTATGTCTTTTTTTTATAAGGGTTTCATTAAGGTTAAAATAAAATTATTAAAATTAAAAACTTACTAAATATAAAAAGATGGATTTTTTTACTAAACAAAAAAGTAAGACACAATAATTAAAACAAATGGAATATTAATTTTCAACAACAACAACCAACAAAAAATTCTGTGTAATCACATAAGTGAGATTTGGGAAGGATAGTGTATACACAAACCTTACCCCAACTTTGAAAAGGTAGATATGTTGTTTTCAATAGACCATCGGCTCAAAGAAAGATGAAAAAAAAGTGGTAGCAACATGCAGTAATAATAACAAGATAACAAGAAAACCGAAACGAAAGGAGTATTATGTAAGTAATAGAAAGCTAAAAATAAAAAAAGTATAAGATTAATACTAATACTACCGGTATGAACAAGGAAAACTCACCACTACCCATCTTTGTACCGGTACTCTTAATGATTTCATTCATTATCTGAAACTCACTTGTCTAACTAATATGGATTCATATAGAATAGACTCACTGATAAGGATAAATCACTCCTTACTGAAAGGTTTTTCCATCCTCACAACTCAAAATCGAAACCCTTTGATACTAGTATTAAGCGAGTAGTGTGTCCATAACTAGCATTGTTTTTGGTATGCTTTAATTTTAATTTTACTCTAAAAATTATTATGCTAAAATTTAGCTTTACAATATTATCATTGTTTTTTGAACATGTTATGTATACCCGTTTCCTATCTCAAGTCTAAACCTTTCTATGGTTCATCATAATACCTATTTTATAAATTGTATTAGCTAAATAAATCTTATATCAGGGGCTTGTAGAGATATTCTACAAGGGAAGTAAAAACGGAGATATAGGCGTCATGCGCCTAGATTTCTTTTGATCTTACGACCATATTATTAATTTATTATTATAATATCAACTTTAATTATTTTTAGTTAAAGCTTAAGCAAACGACAAGGATACAAAGATATGATCTTACCTGAGCTGTTTTGAGCAAAATGACAATCAAATAGCTAAGAATATGGGTCCAACATGAATTGGCAGTGTCCTACTTTTGCTGATTGCTTTATATGATTAAATCTAATGCTTGTTTAGCGATACATTTAGCTTAAAACATTAACTAATGGAGTATATAATTTGATTTTTTTGGTACTTAAAAAAAAGAGAGAGGGAGAGTGTGGTGTGTGTTTATTCACAGCTGTCGTAGCTAATTTCTTCATAACCAGCTAATAGACGTCTAAATTGGATACACAACAAACTTTGATTTTGACCAAGATGAAGATAATAAGTAGAAAAAAGTTCCTTCTTGATTTTTTAAGGTGCAGGTGAGCTATAGCTCCTTTAATAACGAGGAGAGAAAAGTATAATCTTAAAAATTACAACAATTAGGTACTATAGAACTTAATTTTTATATGACTGATAGTTTAGATATTTTTGTATTATTATAATTAATTGATTATAAAAGTTAATTTAATCGACAATAAAAGTTATTACTCTATTATTTAGTTAGAATATCATATTTGCTATAAAAAATTATATATTAATACTGTATGTCAACTTTACCCAATTATATAAAAAAAGATTATATCTCATGCACTGTCAATATACAAAACTCGATCGACACGATAATTATAATTATCACTCAGTATAAATAGAAATAATTAAAGTGTGTGAAAACGGAGATGTGGAGGTTAAGTTGTTGCTGTCGGATACAGTAGAAGCCAAATTCTTTGAAACAGAATATATATCATTTTATGTAGCACACAAATCTTTGTAACCGACACTAATTCATTTGGCACGTCTGTAAAGCAAGTTCGGGAGCGTGATAAAGCTGATCCCATACATCACCAATACCATGTATTTTAGGCATTTAGCTGACGATCTTTTTAAATTTTTTGATTTAATAATTTGGTGTTTCATAGTTGATTTAATTAATTCGGATTTGCATAGTATAAAGCATATTATAAGATACTAATACGGGTGAAACCAAGCCCATTGGACACCTCGGTTCTCGATGGAGTAAACAGAGTAGAGACATGACCGTAAGGAACCGGAATCGGGGCAAGGAACCCATCGAGTCGAGATCCGGGCAAAACACCTACCCTCGGAAGAATTGGGGCCACGTCCCCAGGTCCGATCCGAATCCCAAAATTTCGGAGAGCATTACCAGATAATCGAGCACGACTAGCAAAGGGTCGTGATATCCGTACCCAGCCGAATGTCATGGTGTGAATCTCGGCACGTATCGGCATAAAATCTGTGATTAGCAAAACGGAAGATTTTTACCTTTTATGGAATTGTACTTAGGGTAAAACTTCCTACTATGTAAAGGGGAGTCTGACTATTCATTAGAGACATTTGTAACACGCATATCAAGACAATATACTCTTATTTTCTCTGTTATTCAACGTTCTTACTTTTATTCATCAGTTCTTCATTATCGTGAGCCCAGGATCGAAGACAGACATTTCATTAAGATGTTATTAAGTCCGGGGTCATTCCTCTTAATTAGTTTGACAATTTATTACGTTCTTTATCTGTTTAATCTAATGCTTTTTATCATTTGTGTTGAATTAATCCGCACATCCTTAAAATCACATATAAATTCAATTGTTATCTGTTTTTAGGATAAACAAATATTTAAGTGTTCTTTATTGACGAAGCCTTTATTTTTAAAACTCGAATCCGAAACTCTTATTAAGGATAGAGCATCATTAATAATTCACTACCCCCTTTGATGGTAAAGAAGATCACTTATGAGTACGGGTTATTAGTTTTGAACTCTTAATCCCACTATACAAACTGTATTTTTTTAAGGATTATTTCAAGTGAAATAATAATTTTCACTCATATAATTTTATTTTCTTAATTTATATCCAAACATAATTTTAATTTCAAAATATTATTTTTTCTAGTATTGTTTTCCGACTCCTCTCTTGTGGCCTACCCCTTCATTTCTTGTTCGCATTATTGCGTCTAAAGTTTGCGTCCCCCCAACCACATCTTTCCAAGCATTTTCTTCAATTCCTTCAGCTTTAGTTGAAGGCAATGAAATTAGTAGACTTCCAAAGTTGGTCCATTTCGTACTTCATCTTCTTTTTTTTTTTTTAAAGAGAAAATATTTCTAAAAGATATCCTTAAAAAAGTCGGAAAGTAAAAATAACAAGAAGTGATTTTTTCGTTCCTATACAATATTTGAAACTTATTTACCAAAATTATTCTAATTTTATATATTACCCGCCTTAAACAAAGATGTAAACTAGGCTTATTGGGCCGTTCAGCTAGCGCGCTAACTCATAACTTGGCCCAATTTATGAGACAAGGCCGAGGCCCAATACAAAAGTCCCCCTTTAGGTTTTTGGCGCGAAGAAAAATTGGCGCGGGTTCGTCATTTTCCTGCTCCTGCTCACAGTGATAGCTCATGGAGTGAATAGAGCAAAGTGATTACATTCAATGAACTTGCTAGGGTTTCGTCCTCCTCAATTTTCTGAGGTATGCTTTCCAATCCATCACTATTTTTTCTTTCTTTTTCTTTTCACGTTTTTTTTTTGAAGTTTTACGCATCTGAAAAATCCATAAGCTGCGTCTACAGTGGGCGGAGCCAGTATTTTTATTAAGAGGAGTCAAAATATAAAGAAACAAACTCACCAAGAAGTATATAGTATATATACATATTTTTTTAAAAATTACCGAATTAAACATTGTAATTTTCCGACGAAGGGGTGTTGGTTGACAACCCTTAGGTGCATGTGGCTCCGGCACTGTGCGCCTATACCAAAATCAGAATCTATGCGAATTTTCAGTTCAATCACTACTTGCAAGCTCAATAATTTGATTTTTTGTGTGGAACTAAAGTGAAAAAGGGGATTAATTGACTTGAACAATTGATTGATGTAGGAGGCTGCTTGGCTTCCCGGTTGGCTTCAGCAACATGATGTGGAAATTAAATTATCTGACCATCATGTGGAGGTATTGTCTTTAAATTTGTCCTTTTTTTACCTGAATCAGAAACACCTTTTTTTGGGTTATTTAAAAATCAAGTAAAAGAAAAGTATCAATATAGCTTGTGAAAATATACAAACTTTTATTTTGATAAAAGTTCACCAGCTTTCCATCTTGAAGTACAACCTGTCAATGCACCACATGAAATGTAATAGTTTGAGGGGAAAAGGGCCAAATATACCCCTCTACTTTGATATATTGTTCACATTTATCCTCCGTTATACTATCGGATCAAATCTAGCCTCACCATTAGCAAGGTTTTCAAATTTACCCTCTAATCTAACGGAAAGTCCCAAATCCCAATTTACCCTCTAATTTTTTCTCACAAATTACTTATCCCTGCGTGTGCTCTACCAGATAAGAAAATATCCTCGACAAGTTGATTTCTTATTCCACTTAATTATTTAGAGCAGGAAGACTTAACAAACTCGCCACCTTCAGGCATGAGAGCACTAGTAAATATTACTTTGAAAGAATGTTCTGAAGCTAGACATAATTTAAACAGATCATTTAATTTAGGATTTCTCAAACAATACTTAAGAATCATATGTCACAAATTTCATGCAGAAGTGCTTGCGCAAGCAAAATTTGCATCAAATGACATGCTAAATCCAAATCCGAAAGGGAATGCATTTACATGGATACCAACGGCCTTGTTATGCCTGTAGTCCATAAAAATAGTAAATATTAGTAACAACTTCATAAGCGAATGCATTTCGTCCACTTGAAGAATCAAATAAATCTCTTTCAAATTATCTACGGTATTTCACTCATCCTCATTTTGTTGGAGACATACCCATAAACTGTGAATTTTGCGTTTCATTTATGGTTTGAGCATAACCAAAGACAAGGGGAATAATTATGATGTAGCTCCACACTCCCATTTCTATAATATGGACCTTTTTTCTTCTCTGGTGGATCACACGAAGGAGATGACTGATTTGTGAGAAGAATTGCAGTAAATAGAAGGGATTTGGGGCTTTCCGTTAGGTTAGAGGGCAAATTTAAAAACTTTGCTTACTGTGAGGGTAGATTTGACCCGATAGTATAACAGAGGGTAAATATGAACAATATATCAAAGTAGAGGGGTATATTTGGCCATTTTCCCTAGTTTGAATTATATTTTTATAATGGTGCAAACTTTAAGATGTTGAAACAATACTAAAGCTTTTAGTTTGCACCATATAACAAATGCATAAAAATGGAGAAAAATGTAAATGTAGTACTTTTATCAACATCATTTATTGCACTGCAAACTAAGCAGGGGCTGCTCAATGATATTTGGGACCTAAAGCCAAACTTCAATTAGAGGCCCTATGTTTTATGATAGTATTAAAAGAAATTCATATAGTATAATTTTATTTGAAGTTTATTTTCTAGCTTTTTGTGATGCAAAATTACTAATAATTTGTTTATAATCAATTTCTTCTCATAATTCTTTTTCAATTATTCAATTGATAATATAGCTAATCTATTTAATCTCTCTTGTATTAAATTTTTAACCCTTCTCTTTTTTTGTTTTGGCATTTTTAATACCAAGATTCATATTTTCTAGTTTATATACTAAAATTCTAATAAATAACTAAAAAGACAATATATACTTACCAAAAAAATATAAAAAATAACAAATTTTATATGCAAAATAATAAGAAAAGTATAGAACAATGGAACCTGATTCAACAAGTAGTACTTTGCTGCTTCAGTATTCTTGATTCAAAGCCGGGAAACTTGAAGGAAAAAAAGAGTTAGCAATTGCTTTATGTTCTCTTATATTTGATAGAAAGGTTTATCAGATTGTGGACTTGTGAGTCTGGAGAAAGGCCAAAAAAAATACTCCGTATAAAAGATTAAAGTAAATACACGTTTGAAGTGAAAAGTAAATTAAGGAATAAGAGTAATGTGGGCGTATGATAATAATGGTGGTGTATAAATGAAGCAAGAAGAATATTCATACGTAAGGTTAGGGGTGAATCCCAAAAGTAACATTCATATTCCCAATTTATCTGTAGCGCTCCCATATTTTCCTTTTTCATGAAAATTGTACTTTGATTATTTGCTTACATATTTACTACAAGCGTATCATTAGTCGTCACTTCATATTTTTTACATGGTCTACAAATTTCTAATTTCCCCAAATAAGACTCGTGTGCCACAGGAAAAATCAACTGGCTCCTTGGTCTATTTGTAGGAATTGATCCAGCAGCATAATGCAGTAGCGTCCCATCCACACACAACACAAGAAGGTGGATATAAGAGTTGCCATTTATTCTTATCCGGAGATGATAGTTCACCACTCAGTTTGGTTCAATCAATTGATAATGTAAGCTGCAGGGAACTCTTGATTTTAATAAATTGTCTCGAAAGTTCTTTGCATTTAATGTGAGTTATTTCATGGCGTTAGTTTTAGAGACCCCGCAATTTTGTCTTACAATTGGAACCAAATTGTCCACGACTGGAGTGGAATGGATATAGAGTATTGATTTAGGCGACCAAACTAGTCTGCACTTTGTGGTTCAGTTAGATTGGTAAATTGATTGATATTCTCCTTCTCTCTTCAAATAAACAAGATAGTGAATGTTGCAGATTTGGTTTTTGGCACCAATTGCATGATGCTCAATCCAACGTGTTACCAATCCAGTCCTTAACTAGCTCTATGTTACTTTGTTTTTTTTAAGGTGGTTCAATTTCATCTTCATCTATCATTGGATTGTAGCTCAAAGAACCTGTCAAGTACACTTGAACTTGAAGATATATCTGAAGCAGAAGCAGAAAGGACTCAGTCCAATCATGCTCTGTCAGTTCAGTGTGTTCAAATCCCGATTATTCCTGAAGGGAAGGCTAAGGAATTGAAAGTGGACAACTTTGCTGCATTAGGCAAAGGATCTAATGATACGAACAAAGGGGATGGGCAAGAGGGAAATGTCAGCCTATGCGAAGTCAATCACACGGACGATGCAGTTGAATTGTCGATTGCTGCATCTGAAGCACTGGTTATTCATGAGATGTTCAAAACTGAATCATTTTCAAAAAGAATTCCGACTTCAACCGTGTTGGAAGCTGCACTCCAGGTGAAACAAGCACGGCTGGAAGCTTGGAAAGAGAGTCATGAAAGCTGTCATTGTGATACTGAGGAGACATCTGAAATTGATTTTCTTTCAGACTCAGAAGATTTGAGAATGGAAGCTGCATTTGAAGATGTGGGACTATCTGCTAGTGATTCTGCTGATATGCATTTCCACGACTTAAATGTGTCTCACGTTAAAGATACTCTTGCCTCACAAAATCAAAGACTTAATGGAGAATTGGAAGATGAAGGAGCAGTTTTTCATGGAATAGACATTCTTCAGCCAGGAGATGGTTTTATTAAGCCATACTTAAAAGATATTGAGAGTGATTTCCAGTTGAAAGTGGATGAAAGATTTGGATCTTTTAGCAATGACGGGCAGAAAAAGCTAACAAGGGATCAGCATTTGGGTTTAGATATCACCCCTATGGCACGTGGGAATGATCACTTGTCAGATTGTTTGAACCAGGTAACCCCTATTGGTTTAGCTTCAGCACTGACAAAAATGGGAAACTACTTAATAAAGACAGAACATACCTTAATTTTGGCAAACTGACCTGAATATGCCAGTAAATAATTAATCATACTGCCGTAAGGAGAATTTCCTATCTCCATGTAGTTTTTCCATATCAATGATTGTTCCATTCCATTTTACTTGGTTAGCTATGGATTAGTTTGGGCCTTGACATTATCTTGTTATGTAGATTGTCAATTTTCCTGTCTTGGAAAGACATGCATTTAAAGCATCTATGGATTCACCCTCTGTTAAGAACTATAATGTTGCAGGTAACATATTTTTCGTTGCTTCCTTTGCATTCCATTGGAAGAGTGTTCATATCTGATTATGCATTTCATCCTTACAGGAGAAGGTGATGAATTACTTAAAGTAGTTCCCAAAAGATTCGAAAGTCGTTGGTTTGGTGGTTGGACTTGTTTGAAGGTCAGTACCTTCAAGTACATCCCGTATCACTGATTCCTTTGTCAACACTTTTTATGTGACATATTCTATAATTAACAGGGCTTATTTTTTGTTAATCCAAAGCCTCAGTGATCCTTCATCACTAGAAAGAAGCACAAGTATGCTTAAGAATTGTCTGATTTGTTGCATAATTTAGTCTCTCTCTATCCACATATTCTCCTTTTTATTACCAATGAATGAGTTGACTATTGGCGTTGAGACAGATGCAACAAATTGAAGAATACTACTCTGATTCTGTTTCCTAAATTACTAGATTTTATGTCAGTTGCCTTCAATTCATTAGTCAATACTAACATCACTCATATAAATTAGGGTCACACCTCACCGCTGTAGTGCTGGTCTAGGATACATTTAGATAGCAAGATTAAATCTCTTTTTATCTTCTATTTCTTTTTTATCCTTATGTTCTCAAATCAGATCACTTTTTGAACCCGATTTTCAGAATCAAATGGAAAAATGAGAGTATGATCATTGGACATGATAACATTGATAAGCATGAAAGACATACAGTAGCAAAAATTTTCTATTTAATGAAATAAACCATAATAATTTTCTTAGTAGCATAGGAAAAGAAGAGCTTCACTAGTACTAGATGCCATGCCACTGCCAAAAGATATCATAGCAGTGCATGTCCTATTTGAATTTGGGGTTTGCCTTTCAGCATTGCATCTCATCTCTTAGTCTTTCTTTGTTATCTTGCTTTGACTGCTAATTTATCTCCTCTTCACTTTTTGTTCGCTTTTTCTTGATAAGTAAGGTATCTTCACTTGCTGTTCTTACTACTGATAGATTAGGGAAAGAAAGGAAAGAGGAACACCAGGGAGAAGAGAAGAAAAAGGAGAAACAAAATTTAATTTAGCTTGGCTCAGGGAGAACTGCACGATATTAATGACAAATTCATTTCTCTTCTTTTTAAGTTCTTTTTTCAATTTTGGACTGTAAAACCTGCTGACGCGCCGAGAATTGCCTTGAGTATCCAGTCATTTGAAAGTTAATGCCCACGGAGTGCTTTCCTTGCTTGTCGTGAAGTGTGCCTTTTCAAACACATGCAATTATACTGGGTTGTTTTACATAATTTGATGATTAATTAAAGTAAAATTGTTTTTCTTAACAGTGGGAGTTTACATTTGCAGGCTGTAGTTTATGCTACATAGTTTTGAGGGTCATCATTTATTTGAATATGTTCATGTAGATGTCACTTCTTTGTTACGGGCAATATTTTGCATTAGTTTCTTGTCTTTAATATTGTCACCAATCTTGTTATAATGATGAACTCAGGACTTACATTATAATGGCTGCTTTTATGTGCTATTATAATGGCACGTTCTCGAAATTCTTATACTGCTGTTGCTTGAGTTTGTGGATCTCATTATGTTATTGTTGGATCATACTCCCTAGTTACATTAGTCAGATGTACCTAATCTTCTGTTTTCCTTCTTGTCTTGCTCTGCTCTTTAGAAGGAAGTAAACTCCTCTGATCAAGCCAAATGCAAAGCTATCAAAAGTATTCCTAAACCTTTTGTTGGCGAGACAAGTTATTTCTCAGAATCAGCTGACATAGCTCCAGATCAAAGCTCCTTCGTCGCACAAAAACAGGATGAAAGGGTCATCGTTGCTTCTCAATTGAGTATACCTTTTGAAGGTTTACGTAACAGAGGAAAGGAGATGATACTGCTCTCTCAGGATATTGCAAGATCCTCAAATCTATCCTTAGATGATACTCTATGTTCTGTTGTTCCGTGCAGTATATCGTCTGACCATCTGTCTTCTCCTTCAGCTATATACAATCATGTAAAGGATGAAAAACAACAGCGCTTTGGTTCCACAACTGAATGCGCTACAAAATTGCAGAAAAACTCGGTTCTTGATAATCAGGTGGTTCATGGGAAACAGCTTACCACTCCGAAGATTAATAGAGAAGGGATGGATCACCCAGTTCGCCGAGAAGTAACCTCTCTAAGAACTTATAGCGTACTCCCTGACAATATGACATCTTCAGAGAAAGGGTATTGTTTTGATACATCATTTTCATTTGAAAGAACTGATGTACCGATGCTAAAGCCAGTAGCTCAAATGACAAACAAAAAGGGAAATTGTGATGATACTCCAAGAGAGGGGAATGAATTTACAGTGGCTATGCCCACGAATACAAGCTCACCCCTTATATTGAACCCTGGGTCACAATGTCGTTTCCAAGTTTCAAAAGCATTTCAATATGATTTTGGGATGGGAAAGGATAGAAAGCAAACAAGAGAAGATCAAGCTAGTATAGAGTGTCCAAAAAGAAAGCGTGTTCGCTTTTCAGAAACTGAAACTGAGATTCAACGGAGGAAGGAGCCTAAAAAGTCACACGTTGCACTAAAATCTCGTTAGTAAATTGTAATTTGGAATTTGACCTAGTGTTGTTCAAAGAGAAAGGACACAAATTCACTTCTTTCGTCACCTTCATCTTTGCAGGTCATGCGCCCAAAGCTACTAGAAATTTGGGACTTCCAACTTCACATTTGGAGTCAAGAACTCAGGAACTCAAGAAGCGTCTAACAAATTCTTGTGCTAGAGTTGGAAGAAGATCGATGTTCAAAAATATGGAATTCTTAGTCACAGGATTTTCTAGGCAGCGAGAGAAGAAACTTGAAGACCTAATCAAGAATTATGGTGGCATAGTTCTCTCTGATATCCCCCCTCCTTCAGTTTATAGGGGTCAGAGACTTAAATCTCAGGCGGTTCCTGTTGTTCTTTGTTCAAAGAAGGTCGGTCATTGTCTGCTTTTATTTTGGCATTTCAATTCATATCTACTAAATTAAAACAATGTATTTCTGTTTGCTCTTCATCCCCAGTAGATTGATACTACATCAAGGTTTTCAGGCCTCTAGCATGATGCTTATAATGAGCATAAGACAGAACGTTGTTCGTATGTAAAATAATGTCCAATGACTAACTACTGCATCTTTGCTGGTTTAATTGAATGTCAGATATGGAGATGGTTACAATAAAGGAGAACTAGATGTCCTCAAACCGAAGAAAGAGTAATATTAGCAAACAAACCCTCTCATTAAAGTTCCACAAAAGAGTTCCTTCTTTCTATAGTGAAGGATATAATGGAGCATTATGAATGCAGGAAGGTTGATACGTCTTGGGCAGAACTTTGTTTTTTCATGTCTAGGTCATTTTGTGGTGATCGTTTAAGTCGTAGAACTTGATTTCCAAATGAATTTGGGCTGTTTTACTCTTAAAGTGAATTAATTGGACCTTGGAGCTTTAGATACTAAAACCACAACTTAAATTTGTATGACTTCCGCTTCTTGTCCCGGTGCCTGTATATTTCCTGTCATTTCATTTAAGCTACTACGATCCTTGAATTTACTTCTGACAATATAAGATAAATTGTTGTTGTTATTTGATGTTATTGCAGCTGCAAACAATCAAGTTCTTGTATGGATGTGCAGTAAATGCCTTTATGCTTAAAGCTAAATGGCTTACTGATTCAATTAGTGAAGGTCGCATTTTACCAACAGAAAAGTAAGTTTTCTACCATACCCAAGATGGCACCGAATTTATGGATTTTTCAGCTATCACCTTTGTATATGTTATATATATGACAGAATATTCACTTTTTCCGGCTATAATTCTTCTATAGAATCTTGATTTCATGTTGTCATTCTACAATGTATAGTTTAAGCAATCGATAAGGCACTGGTAACAGGAAAAACTGTATTCAGTTCTGTAGTATCTATCAACTCTATGCCAAAAATGAAAGTTGTCGTTCCCTCTTTTAGAAGATAACTTTTCTTCCTATTTATCTAGCTTATAGCAGAAGACAATATGCTTCCAGATATTAGGTGTTAGTATCTTAATGTCTTTTGTGTCTATACGTGCTTCTTTGAATGGCTTATAAATGATGACTCGTTAACCCTTTTTCTTTTTTGTGCATCTTCAAAAAATGAGTCATAGTTACCTATAAAAAATTGATTCTTAGGTTCAATCTTCTTAAGGAGGATATGTGCATAAGAATTCAAAAACATATATATGAGTTTGGGGATGGTTGCTACTGCTTTAACACAAGTCAGGCATTGTATTTATGTTTGTGAAAGCTCCAAATGTGTTTGCTTAAGGATTAAGATATGTAAAACTACGGCCCTCAAAGGACTAAATCTACTCAATTTTTTATCCTGAAGCAGTTAAACTCGTTATTTAGTACTCAATTTCAAAATTGCCATATGCCAAGTAAGTGGGGCCTCTATATTAGGTTTAATAATCCAGCCAAAGGGGCCAGCATTATTAAGGATGTTGGGCCTAAAAATATTATTGTTAACAAACCAGACAAAGGGGCATGCATTATTAATGAAGTTGGGCCTTCAAACACAAAGAAAACAGATCGGGTTTATTACAATACAGGCCCAAAAAGAAGAAATAAGAAGATACAGATCTGGAAGGCCAGAACCCAAGACCCATGTCTTCTTAAAACACGCTCTTCACCTCCACCACATAATCTTGATCCCCCTTCCATATAACTCCATGCTCTAGAAATTCACCGTATGATGTCTGATTCAGAAGGGAGTGTTTGTCCAAGCCTCTGCGATGCTGATGATGAAGGAGAATTGCCCCAAGATACAGAACTTCCTTCTATTCTTCCACGGATCAGGGAACTAGCACTAGTGTTTGACTCAGAATCTGATTACTCTTCTCAATCTCACAATGATACTCTCTCTCTTCCTTGGTATGGTGATTACTTTTTTAATCAACAAATTGTTCATACTCCTTCTGTTATATCCGCTTCGAAATGGACAAAGTTGGTTGTGGTGAAGGCATGCAAAGCATTTGGGGTTAATGCAACTGGTTTTGAACATGAATTATTGAATATGATTCTAAGAATGGACCAGAGGAGACAATCTCAATTGCAACAAAGGGAGTCAGAAGGGGGTTGTTCGAAGACAAAAAAGAAGAATGGGGTGATAGAATTGAGTATGTTTGCAGGAGACAAAAATTGAAGAGTGTTCACAAAGTAGGTTCGTTATGGGTAAATAGATGGGCTAGCTGGGCAGATTTGCAAGGAAATGACATAGGAGGTGGGATCATCATTTTGTGGGACATGAGGTTGTGGAAAAGCATTAACATTCAACAAGGTATATACTCTGTTTCTGTCATTCTAGAAAGTCTCCAAGAACAATTCAGGTGGTGTTACACGGGGGTAGATGGGTGACATTCAAATGCAGCAAGAACGGATCTTTGGCATGAATTGGCAACAATACGGGGTATTTGGGATGAGCACTGGGTGATAGGGGAAGGCTTTAATGTATGCAAATATGAGCATGAAAAATTCAACTGTCTTAGAAGGTCCAGAGCAATAAAATCTTTCTCTAATATTATATTGGAATTGGAACTGTTGGACTTACCCCTACATGGAGCTCAATATACATGGTCTAGTGGTGAAGAACAACTTCAGGCTTCCAGAATTGATAGGTTCTTAATTTCATCTGAGTGGAATGACAGTTTCAAGGCAATAAAGCAGGTGGCTTTACCCATAGTAGAGTCTAATCATAAGCCATTAATGCTTGAATGTGGCGATTGGGACTCTAATTCATCTTATTTTAAATTTGAGAATATGTGGTTGCTAGCAAAGGGATTCATGGACTCAGTTAAAAAATGGTGGTCCAGTTATCAGGTAGTGGGCAATCCAGCAATCCAGACTTCATCTTGACTCAAAAATTGAGGAATTTGAAGAAAGACATCTCATGCTGGAATAGGGAGGTATTTGGAAAACTAGAAACTCAAAAAAGTAAGGCACTTAATGAACTAACTGTACTGGAACAATCATCTGATGGCAGAGTCCAAACACAAGCTGAGAAGGCTCAATTTATCAACTTACAATCACAAATTCAGTAGTTAGCAAAGATTGATGAGGTTTCATGGAGACAAAAATCAAGATGCTTATGGCTCAAGGATGGAGATAGAAATACAAAGTACTTCCAAAAGATAGTTAATGCTCATAGAAGAAACAACTGCATTGATAGGCTACAGATGGGGGAAGTCATCACTGAAGATAAGGAGAAAATCAAAGTGAAATCCTGAACTTCTACCAGCAGTTGTACTCGGATAATGAACCTTGGAGGCCGTCAGCTAGATTTGACAATTTAGCTAGGATTTCAGAAGCTGAGAGACACTGGTTGGAAAGGGAGTTTGAGGAACAGGAGATTCTTTCAACCATTAATTAATATGCTCCAGATATGGCTCCAGGACCTGATGGTTTTACTATGGCATTCTTTCAACATGCTTGGGAGATTATAAAAAAGGAGGTTATTGATGCAATGAATCACTTTCACCACAACTGCCACATGGTTAAATCTATCAATGCCTCTTTTATTGTTCTGATTCCTTTTCATTAGTCTTATAAGCAGTGTATATAAGATTGCTTCTAAACTTTTGGCTGAAAGGCTTAAAACAATCATTGGGAAGTTGGTATCAGGGAGTCCGAAAAAAGGTTACCCAACCAAAAACTCAACAGGGGTTGGGAATTAAAGATCTAGCAGCACATAATAAAAGCATGATCTCAAGTGCTCCATACAGTGTGGGATTATGAAAAGGCATCGGCAAATTATGGAGGACTTTTGTTCAGAACATCCACTTTGAAGTTGGGAATGGTACACACATCAGATTCTGGAAGGATAAATGGCTTGGAAACTCCTCCCTTCAAGTTGAATTCCCTAACTTATTCACCATAGCCCAAGATCCTAATGCTGTTATTGTTGCATATAGGGAAGGGGTCAATTGGGACTTGAAGTTCAGAAGGGACATGCATGATTGGGAAATAAACGAGCTGCTAGACCTCTATGCAAGACTACAACAAAGCAATGTTAACCCCCAGGCTGTGGATAGACTTAAATGGGGGTATCATGGCGGAGGCATCTACACAGTCAAGGTGGGATATCAACAGATGTGTTCTAGTAATCCCATGATAGACAACTGGCTCTGGAAACTTATTTGGAGAACCAAGCTGCCACCAAACACCTGGATAGAATTATATGAGGCATGCCTCACACAAGATAACCCGATGAAAAGGAACTTCCAGTTACCTAATAGATGCTACATGTGTCAAAAGGAAGCTGAAAGTACCAGCCACTTGCTCCTACACTGTGAGGTGGCTTTAGACATATGGTACATGTTTTTTTTTACCTTTTTGGTCTTAAATGGGTCACCCCTTACACAATCAAGGATGCTTATAAGAGCTGGAGTTTATGGAGAGTTGATAAAGCCATCGGGAAAATTTGGTCAATGGTCCCTGCTTGTATTTTCTGGTGCATTTGGACAGAGAGAAACAAGAGATGTTTTGATGGAAACTCAACTCCTATAGGTTTTTTAAAGGCTCTGTGTATTGCCAATTTGTTTTGTTGGTCTAGACTGTACCCTATCAACAATATTGATCATCTTTTGGATTTCATTAGTTCTTTAGCTTTGCTTAGCCAATTATGTATAGGAGCTGGAATATTTTTTGTAAGCTCAAATGCCAAATCATGTACTTCTTGTGTCTTCTTGATGCCATCTATTGAAATCACTTGCTTTATAAAAAAAAGTACTCAATTTCAATGATCTGCTGATTTGATTTATCAGAAAATAAAAAGATCTTGCTGATTTGAAAAATCTTCTGCATGCATGTTCCTTTTCTTTTTCTGTTAGTTCTATATATTTGCTAATGTTAATGTTGAGTGATGATTCTCTTCCTTATTCCATAAGAAAAGCATGATGAAGGGTGTTAGACTGCACAAGTTACATTTTCCTTTTGAGTAGTTCCGATAGTTGATTCTGGTTACTTGCTTATTCATGATCAGTTGCATCTCAACTTTTTGTCAGGTACATGGCTGTTAAAAAATGTGTTGGCAAACTGTGTGTTGCTGTCGAAAGTTTAGTCAAAAACAATAGTCACAGCCCTATTTTTGACAATCTAGGCATCATGCTTCACGGTGAAAAGAATTTCTGCACCGACATGGCCAAAATTATCAAGGTAGTTATGGTTTTTAAGTCAATCAATAACTTTGCTGTCTTCTCTATTTTCTTGCAATTCTCTTGCTCAGTTGCTCTTACTTCTCCATTTTTCTTTTACTATATCAAGTGCCAGGTTTCCTAAAACGTAAAACAGTAAGAGCAAAAACGAAAAATAAAAGAGAAAATTATTCAGGTCTCTGTTGTAGATAAATAAGTTTATAACAGAAACCAAGTAGGGCAAAGTCCTCTTATGGTTGTGTTCAATAATCTTAGAATTTGTCCAGTTGGAAGAGCATTCTCGTTTTACAAATTTTGTTTACTTGGTTTGAATATAGTAATGGAAATTCCATTTAATGATTAAGAAGGATCACTTATACAAATAACCAGTACGTGTCCAAGTTTGCATGTGTTTATCAGTTCTCTGTTCAAGTTGGCACCAAGAAAAGAGAGAAAAAGAATATTTTGATTACTGTACTGTTTCCGAAGGATAAATTCATTACCCGGGAGCTTTAGATTCCCGTCAAATTATCAAGTTTCTCCATTTTGAGTCAAGCGTCACAGCATCTCTGTTGATCAAATGTAGGGTCAAACAGTCAAACAAAACTTTCTTCTGACCAAAAAGACATCTCTAAGCTAAAAGACCTGAACAAACAACATAAAAGAATGTCACATATTGATCTAATAGACACTTGAAATAGGTGATAGTTTTTCTTAGATACATTATTCTTACTTATCTTAAGTATACTTCATTAGGTTTTGTGAATGATATGCTTTTACTTTGGTCCTGATTCCTTAGGGAGTTAATATTATAATTGCTAACACATAAGAAATTAAAAATAAAAAATTGATCAAACCCAATTGGGTGATTCTGCTAAAAGAAGTTGATTTATGTTTCGCTCAACCCCAGCTCACTAAAATCTTCTATGGGCCCCTTCTTTTTACCCGTGGAAAAATTAGAGGACACGGCTTGATGTGAACTGATCGCTGTCAAAATTTTGCCAGAATCTAATATATCGCTTTCCACATCCTTGAAATGATCTGGAAATTTTGTTCTTTTAGCTTAATCTCTTGCTGTTACTGCTTGTACAATTAGTTATTTATATGACTTCAATTTCAATATCAATGAAGTGACCCTTATCAAGAATAACATTACAAAATTTCTTCTTGCTTGTCTTTGTTGGTCTTTAGTTTCTCAGTCAAATCCATGTGATAGTGTTCTTAGAGAGGCTACGTTGTTGTCATTCAAGCTTTCATGTTATGATACCCCTTTTTCTTCTTTCTGGGTCCCTCAGCATGGTGGTGGACAAGTTTTCAAAACGCTTCTGGAGTTGGTTCAAAATCGTGACGATGAGAAGATTGTAACGGGAGTCATTGTTACTGAAAATGAGCGTAGCGCATCACGTCACCTGAAGCACTGCGCCTCGGAGAGGACAATACCAATTATGGTTAGTTAGACCCTTCTTCAATTGCCTAGTTTAGCCGTTTAATTGAATTATTTAGCTAAAGTATCTACTTAAGCTCTAACTTGCATAAAAGTAAGGTATTGAGGGGCCTTGATGCCTGATGGTTCGTAGAATTTTAATCTATTCTTTTCAGCTCTACATTCCCACCTACACTTTTTTTTCCTTCACTTTTGTGCAGTCAGCTTACTGGATCATAAGGAGTTTACATCTCGGAAAGCTCCTTCCTTTGAAAGAGAAGGCGAAATCCTGCAAGTTACCAACTCTCAAGCTTCCAAATTTCCCTGATACTCTAGGTCTAAGTCAAGAAATATAAATGCTCTTCCTTGTGGGCACGTATTAGTCTTGTGCCAGAAGTTACTTAGTACAACCCCTATGAAGAGAAACTTCACGTTATCACCTTGCATGGGTTACCTCATTTCTTGACATATGAAACCCCGGTTCACTCGGCTGCTAAGTAGTTGCTGATGGTGTAGCAGCATAATGTCTGCTCCTCCTTGAGGTGTACATAATTTATCAGGAGTATGTGTTGATATTTGCTTATAGGCGCAAGATTGGTTCAAAAACATTCATTTAGGCAGATGGGCAGAGGCACAAGACAAGAACAGGGATCGGTGCTCAAGACAGATATTCATCCTAGCTTCTTTGAAGGGATATGCTGTATCTTGTATGCTGAAGACCAATCAAATATGTTAAGTTATATGTTGTTGTAAGTCATCCTCCTGGATTACGCTGTTTCTGCTGTAAGAAGCCTATATTACTACATGTACATGTTCTGTTTGAAAAATATACTATTCCTGAAGATAAATAAAAAGTTCTTTTAAGTCTAAAAACTACTCTATAGATTGATTTGAGGCTTGAGTCTATACACTCGAATATTAGCTCCATACACTTCCCTTTATTTTATTTTTTTTGAGAATGGTAACAATATATTCATCAGCCTTGAGGAAAAGCCGGGCACCATATTTACAAAGTAGATTAAGCAAAATAGAACCTTGTTCTTCTTACAAGGTTACTACAAGGCTCCTAGAAAATCCATTAAAGATTCAGCACCTTCTACATATTTTCCTTTACACCAAAAACACAAAGACCGTATACAATTCATCTGTATAGAGTTACTATTGTCTTCAAAACACCTTGCATTTCTCTCTGTCCATATAGTCCACCATACACAAGCTGGGATGGAGTTCCACCATTTCTTCTGCCTTCCCCTGCCTCCCCCCTTTTTCCGGCATTTCAGAAGCTCAATTGTAGACTCTAGCATGACAGATGGTTATTATTTTCTACATTCTCATGACACAAGAAGCATCTTGAGCTTAGCTGAAATCCGCTTCTTTGTAGTTTTTCATGAGTTAAGCATGCTCGTCTAGCCACCAACCAGGAGAAGCGTATCACTTTGAAAGGAGCATTAACTTTCCAAATATTTTTCCAAGGCCAGCTTGTATTTTGATGTCCAGTAGAGTTTAAAAGAGTGTATACTGATTTAATTGTGAAGTCCTTTCCATCACTCTTCCATATCATGGAATCTTCATTGTGAGATGTACCGTTGAAGGTCTCCAAGTCCTTCAGTAACTCAGTTACTCTTATAACCTCCCAATCATTCAACGATCTCCTAAAATATAGATTTCAGCCTTGTAAGCTCCAGGTGTCTTCAATGGAAGCCTCTGGTGCTAGGCTTAAACAGAAAAGATCTGGGAACATATCTTTTAGAGGGGCATGTCCCAACCAATTGTCATTCCAAAATGAGATTTTTCTCCTGTTACCCACTGTAAACCCCACATTAGCGTTAAAAGTAGGCCACTGAGCTCTAATGGATCTCCAAACACCAACTCCATATGCCGTTGTCACAGGCTTGGTGCACCATTGTCCCTGTTGTCCATATTTGTTGATCATCACCTCCTTCCACAAAGCTTGGTTTTCATTGTTGAATCTCCATAGCCATTTCATTAGAAGACTCTTGTTTTGTGTTCTTATGTTTTTAATACCAAGACCACCACCTTCTGCTTTGCTAGTAGTGGCTGCTTTCCAGTTGACTAAGTGAAAACTCTTTTTATCTTTGCTTCCTTGCCATAAGAAATTTCGTCTGAGAGAATCCAACCTCGTTTCCACCTTTGCAGGTATTGGAAAAAGAGACATCACATATGTAGGCAGAGAATTCAGCACAACATTAATCAGAATCACCCGACCGCCCAGAGATAGGTATTGTGTTTTCCATCTAGCCAGTCTCCTTTCAACCCTCTCTACAACTCCACTCCATACCTCCATAGCTTTATTTCTTGAACCAAGGGATAGTCCCAAATAAGTAGTTGGTAGGCAATCTATCTCACATCCAAGAATCCCTGCTAAGACTTTGGCATCTGCCACTTCTTTAACTTGAATCAACCTACCTTTTCTCCAATTTACATGTAATCCAGACACAAATTCAAACACCAATAAGTATTAGCCTCAAATACCTCATCTGCTCAGCTTTTGCCTCGCACAAAACTAGAGTATCATCAACATATAGAAGATGTGATACCTCCATCTCATTGCCAGCATTGTTAGGTACCCTGAAGCCTCTCAAGCACCCATTCTGATTAACAGTTTTCAACATATTGTTGAGTCCTTCCATGGCCATAATAAACAAAAAAGGGGATAAAGAATCTCCTTGTCTTAACCCCCTATGAGAAGGAAAAAAACCCTTTGGTGATCCGTTAATCAGTATAGAAAATCTTACTATGCTAATGCAAAATTTAATCGAGTTTTGCCACTTTCTTCCAAATCCCATCTTCTTAAGGGTTTTGATTAAATTGTTTACCCTCGAAATCGGATAACAATTGAATTTGTTAGTGGTTTAAAGGATATGCAGATTAACTTGATACAAAGCGATAAATTAGATTGCAATTGAAATAAATAATAATAAATTAACTGCAAACCACATGAATTGGATGATTTCAGCTTAAGAAAGCCAGCTACCCTTGAGTTGAATGTACTTTTATTGACACAAAGATATCAGAGAGTAAGAACTTAGAGAATGTATTGCTTATCAGTGTATGTTACAATGTCTCTCATGAATTGTCAAGTCCCCTTTATATATTAGGGGGGACCTACCTTTTAAGATATTATTTTATTGTTCTATAAAAGGCAAAAGTCCATGATTTGCTGACCATTGGTCCCTTTTTGACTCGTTCCGTAATTTTTGCCGTAATGATTGGTTAATGGTGAGAATTACGGACCCCTATCGGTTGAGTTAGCAAAGCTTTCTTCGAGACCGTTAGAAACAGGACCGGTTACACCTTCGGTAAACTCGAGGGCAAATATGATGATTTTGATGGGTAACTTTGACAATGCTTTGGGTTCGATCATAGTCACCATGTACCGATCTTGACTGATGGTGCTAGACGTCAGATCGATCTTCGAGCTCGACTTCACCCGATCACAGATATATCGACCCTGGCCTAATAAGGGAGTTCGGAAGCTCGATTGTCACGACCCAAAATCCAACTAGTCGTGATGGCACCTAACCCAACCCACTAGGTAAGCCAATTAACCACTAACCGATTCCAATAACAATCAATAAAGCAATTAAGTGAAGAAATTATCTGAATCTGATACATTCCCCAAGAACTGGTAGTACAAATCATGAGCTTCTAAGAATAGAATTTACAAAGCTGAAATGAAGTAAATACATCGTCTGCTTGAAAAGTACATAAACAGAGTTTTAAAGATCTAAGGCTACTACGAACAAGAGGCAGCTACCACCGGGATGCAGGTACATCTTCAAATCCAGCTCCCATCAAACATAACAACATCAACAGTCAATATCTGCACGTAAAGTGCAGAAGTGTAGTATGAGTACAACCGACCACATGTACTCAATAAGTAACAAACCTAACCTTATGTTGAAAGTAATGACGAACTAACAAAAAGGTCGGGTCCAACACCAATATTCCACAATAGTTCATAACAACATAGTACAATAACAAAGGAGTACCTCAGAAATAAAAGGCTCAGTTCGTTCACAGTTCCAGAAAAAATAGGCATTTCTTTTCAAGTATCTCAGTGAAAACCCAAATCTTTTACCGAAAAATCCAAAATACGAGTAAGTTTGAAAATTGTGGTTTTTTCCCAAAATTCCTTTCAACAAATAGTAAGATGTTTCATTTTTAGATAGCATGAGGAAAGTACTTCTCTATGCCTACATGTCAAGATACAGGTAAAATCATAAATATTCCCCAAACTGGGTAGCAGAAGGAAATGCACCTCTATGCATGTATCTCAAGTACGCATATCAAATGCAATGCATCTCGATGATGAGCTCATGTACTCACACTCTGAGAGTACTCAATCTCACTGTCTCGCATTCTCTCTCACTATGCTCAGCACACTCAATCACTCAGCGGTGTATAATACCCGTTGCGGCGTGCAACCCGATCCATATATGATCATAAAATCCATTGCGACGTGCAACCCGATCAATATATATTTAGTCGACTGTGCTCACTGGGGTGTGCAGACTCCGGAAGGGCTCCTTCAGCCCAACCGCTATATCGTTGCGGCGTGCAGCCCGATCCCATAAAATGTAATCAATATAACATGTTGCGGCGTGCAGCTCGATCCCAAAATATGTAATCAATATAACCTGTTTCGGCGTGCAACCCGATCCCAAAATATGTAATCAATATAACCTGTTTCGGCGTGCAACCCGATCCCAAAATATGTAATCAATATAACCTGCTGCGATGTGCAGCCCGATCCCAAAATATGTAATCAATATAACATGCTGCGACGTGTAGCCCGATCCTAAAATATCACTCTCACTCGGGACCTCGGCCTCACTCAGTCATCAATCTCTCCAGTCTCACTCACGGGCTCACAATATCATGAAACTATAACTAGCCCGACAACAATGATATGATATATCAATAAATAATAACTGAGACTGAGATATGGTATGAATG